GAAAGAAAAGGCATTTTTACCAAATTTTTGAGATTTTTTTTTGGTGATACAGAGAATAGGGATTTGAACCCAGGGGTACTCTACCCATAAGTTATATCCCAAAACCTTTTCATTTTTGAGACAGGGTCTCAATAAATTGCCCAGGCTGATCTTGAACTAGCAATCTTCTTGCCTGAATCTTCTGAGTCACTGGGAATATAAGGATGTGCAACTGCACCCAGCTATATATTTTTTTTATTAAGAAAACTGAACAGGGCTGGAGTTGGGGCTCAGTGGTAGAGCACTCACCTGGCACACATGAGGCACTGGGTTTAATCCTCAGCACCACATAAAAATAAAAAAAGATATTGTGTCCACATACAACTTAAAAAATACATATTAAAAAAAAGAAAGAAAGAAAACTACTGAATAAATTTAATCTGGCAAATTCAGTATTTTCAACACCCCCCCCCCAAAAAAAAATCAGTGATAACTGAGTTTGAGTATAGTCCCCTTGTACAATATCCATGGATACATAATTATATGTATACTGACATTTACATGCATATCCACATACATGTCCATATCCATATCTAAATATTCAACAGACATCTGGCTTGTCACAGGCAAAGGTGAATAGGCCCTAGAACAGGAGTGCTTATAAATCTGTATATTTTTTACTGCAAAAGAATTTCAATGAACAAATGTTTGAGAGCAAAATAGAAAATTCCCTTTAGAATAGCATAGTAATAACTGTTACAGGAAAGAGGATAAACTTAGCACATTGTCAAAAATCCCACTTAAGCCATCCAAACATTGAGAATATATTGAGAGTTTTGATTTTTTTTTTCTGGTTTTATTTGTGTTTGTTTGGTTTTGTTTGGGGGGAGTTTTTTGTTGTTCTTGTTACTAGGGATTGAACTCAGCCTGACGTATGCAGGGTGAAAGTATGAAAAGAAACTGGATGTTTTGATAGCCTCAAAGTGTTTTTTCCAAGATATTTACTTATCAGTGAAGGGAAAGGTTCTAACTTTGCTATGGAGAAACCTGACAGATATCACCTTAACCAACTGATTAAGGTTAGTATTAGTACAGCCAGCAGTGACATGAAGGGCCCTCATTAGCAACCACCTAGAAGGATGCTGCCCTGAGGCCCTGCAATCGCAGTCACTGGAAGAGACATTATTTGGGGACATGAAGGTAAATGTTTACTAGTTGAAAGCCAGGTGGTGGGAAACACTGAAAGGAATGTGTATGAGTCCCAAGCTCATGGGAGGAGAGAATCAGTGTCTGAAGAAAGTTCATAATGCTACAAAGAGAAAATTCCAGGCACCAAAATCTCACCATATCAACCACATCATGACTATGTGGCATGACAAGGCAGTATAAGTCACTCTAACACATCTACCTTCACAGTGGAGTAATATCACAAAGACTCTCCCAGTTTAAGACTGACTTGAAGATCAAACATCACACTGAAAAGCTTGCAATAAGTCAGAGAGAGAGTTGGTATCGTTATTTATGAAATCAAAATTATGTTTGCAAACTGGATTATTAGAACCTTGTCTTAAATGGACTTGAGTATGATATGTAAGTCTCTGTAAGACAGCTGCCAGGCTGAGACAAGTGTGCCATTTGTGGGGATGCAAATGATTATTTGCTATAATGCACCTAAAAAATAATACTTCTGAAATATGTAGGATTTTTATAGAATGTATAACCAAGAAAAAGCAAAGCAAGCTCTCCTTAAAGATTATGAAAATTAGGAGATCCTTAGAAAACTTTCAACCTTTCCCATCAATGGCTTTGACAATATCACAATATCAAGGCACTAAAATTTCTTTTGATGATATCTGGAAGAAAATTCCACCTCCCGTGTCTTCCTTGTAACCAAAACAATGGGCAGTGTTATGGTTTGGATCATAAATGTCCCTCAAAAAACTCATGTGTTGAAGGCAGGGTATCCCATGCAGCAGTGTTCAGAGGTGGGGCTTTGGAGGAGGTGATTGGATCACAAAAGCTCTGACCTCATGAGTGGATTAATCCATTCATAGATTCATAGGTTAGTGGGTTTTGGTGGAGGGCTTTATGATAAAAACCTCTGCCTCCTTCCACCTCCCTTTCACTTTCTTGGACACCATGGGGTAGGTAGCTTTGTTCTATCACCTGCTCCCTACTATGATGTTCTGCCTTGCCACAAGACTAAAAGCAATGGAGCCAGCCAACCATGAACTGAAATGTCTGAAACAGCGAGCTAAGATAATTCTTTCTGCCATTAAGTTGATTTTCTCACAGTGATGGAAAGTTGAGCAACACAGACAGTAAAGTTACTCTTCAATGAAAGAACATCCAAACTGATTCAAACAAGAATGAATTATATTCTGCTTCAGAATGCTGCTAGACCCAAGTTTGTGATTCTGTTGCTGAATTTGGACAATTAGACAACAAAATAAAGATCAATAAATAATAAATGTACATTTGTATTCATTTATTCTGACCATGGCAGTTCTACTGATAAGTTAGCTATGAGCATGTTGGGCCCTAAGGATTCAATGTTAAAACTCAGTGCTGAAAATTAAGTCATTCAAAGAAAGAACCACTTTGTTCAGAAAGATACTCAAGTAAATTTGAGATAGAAAAGAGGTCCTCTTACTATTCTCATATAAGATCCACCACCATACTCTCACAAAATAGAGTCCCTTAAAACACCAAGCAAATCCAGACATAGTGCCCATCATAAACACAGGAGCTGACTTACACTTTCTTCAGGTCCAGCCACTGACTCTCCTGATAGCTTCCTTGGCTCTGGCTTTGTTCCAAGAACAATGTCCCAGATCTACCTCTCATCTACTCTGCTGGCCATGGGCTTCCCCAAGCATTTATCATTTCACCAGATTGCCCTGAAGTATTTAACAAATCCATCATGGGCTCCTGATCACAGGACTCGGTTGTAAAACATCCCCTGCATTGTGGTCTAAATGTTTGTGTCCCTCCAAATTCATATGTTAAAACATAATCCCCATCCACAGTGTGACAGGGTTAGGAGGTAAGACCTAGGAGGTGATTAAGTAACAATGTTCCTCCCTCAGGAATGGGATTCATGCCGAAATAAGAGAGGTCTCAGACAGCTGCCCTGGCAGAGAGAAACCACCAACTATAAATAAAGAAATGGGCCTTCTCCAAACTCCAGAACTGTCAGTGCCTTGATCAGGGACTTCCCAGCCTCCAGAACAGTGAAATATAAATCTCCATTGTTTATAAGCCACTGATTCCGTGGATTTTGCTCTAGCAGCCTGAATAGACCAAAACAGCCTGCAAGGTCACATCCAAACCATATTTGAACTCTAACCCTTCTGATGCAAATCTGGGTATGGACACAATTGAAATACAGTCATCCACAGTAATAAAAGTTTGGGGGACAGTTGAAGTGGCATCCTACAAATTAACAATAGTACAGCAAGTGTTTGTAAGATCATTGCCACATTTTAATGGGCAAGAGTTGAATGACAGTATATTTGAGGTTCTGTGTAATAATCACCCACATTCCTCAATCACCCTTCTTTCAGTAAAAGAGAGGTTGTGAAGAGCCACAGGCTCTGTGCCAAAGGGTAAGCTTTAGAAATATTAATAGGGGGCCTTTGCCAAATTAATAGGATCAAGTTCTTTTCATGAACATAATACAGTAATAAGCTGAAAACTCACTTTATTGTTATTTGTTCCAAAAATAAAATCTAGCCAAAAGCTTTAAGGCTTTCTTAAATCCCATCCAGAGGGTTTCTACTAATGGGAAAGTTTTAAGATCCTATTATAATGCAGCTTAACTTATGAAAAGGTTTCATTGCACAAAAGTCTAAAAAAAGGCTTGACTGAGTTCTAAATAAAGAGTAAAGGTATGAAAATTATACTTGTGTAAGTGCATATATATATAATGCATAATATGCATATAAATGTATATAATACTATATACCACATATAATTACAACATAATAAAACTTCTTCTAAAACCTTCCAAGGGCCAATATTTACCTGTGATAAAATTCATGAAATCATTATAACTATGCTATCTAAAAGCAAACAAAGAAACAGACATTCATTTCACAATCTTCTAAGATTTTTCAGTGCTGAGGACTGAACTTCACACATAGTAGGCAAGCAATCACTGAGCTACATCCACAGTCACAGAATCCTGAATATTCCATGGCACTAAAGAAAAATTTTAGCAAGATCCTGACATTAATATGCTTTTAAAGGTATCCAATTTTAAAAACGTATAAGCACTTAAAGAACCAGAGAAAGAGAGGAACGCTGTGAACTAACCACTGAAATCCTGAAGTGCCTATGCAGGTCTACATACAGAGAGAGCATTCATCAAATCAAAATGCTTGTTCACCTGCTCTGATGAAAATAACATTTATTTAAAATTTTCATGGGATGTCAGGAGCATTTTAAGCCTTTGCCCCTACCAGGAGGCACAGTCATAGCTTTCTGTTCTGGAGATGAGAAAACCAAGACCCAAGAAGGTTAAGTGATTACTGGAGGTCACTGTGCTATTATAGCACAGCAAAAAGTAAATTAAAATGCACTGTCCTAGGCTCTGAAAGGATTCCAAGAAGAATCTGGCCCAGTTGTTACTATCCATGAAATTTCAAAGACATCCAAGTCTCATGGACACAATGAGTATGTTTATTAGTTAGAAAGATGATGATGTTTTTCAAAAAGGAAGAATGAAGAAGATGCCATCGGGTATACATTTGAACTGCATAGCAAAAACCAAGTAGAGGGATAGAGTAACACAGATCCAAGGGGTTCTACAACTCCTCATATGCTCTGTAATTAGTCTACCCAGAAATCTGTGTAATATGCAAAATCAGTCATTTCCAATCTCACGCCCTTTGAATGCCTCAGTCTTTCAGAAAATTGTAATGAGGATGCTGGAAATGGGGCATTGCCAATAGTAATGAATGTTTCTGCTTTTTAAAGATGTTTAAGAATTTCAATTATAATCAAGTAAATGAACTTACTTCGGGAGAGATTCTCAAGGGCTTTCCCGAGCTTCTTGCTCTCTTGAAGGATGTGGTTCAATTCATCAAAATCCCGGCTTCCTGGTTTAGTCCGCCAGTTCCACTTAGGATGCTCTACTGCCCTTGGCACTATGTTTAAAAAAAATGGTTATTTCATAAGCATGCTGTATAACCACACAAACTCACTGTTCATTATTATGTGAAAGACTGAACCAAGAACAATGTACAGAATTTTATAAATGCTTAACTTGGAGATAGTCCTCTTATGAGCCAGCAGAAAGGAAGATATAATGTTGGGCTTGAAGAAAATGTTTTAACTGAACACGTCAGGAAAGTCTGGCAGATTTTATTTAAAAGAGGGAAATTCAGGTATTAATGTAGAACTAATCATTTCTGTAACTTAAGGAAAACACACGAAGTATATTTTGTATTTATTACCAGCTGAAAAAAATTACTTCTTTATGACCAACTAGCAAATGCTTTTAAGACATTCTACAAATGTCTTCTAAAAAAATCATGTAAGACTAAGCACATGTATTTACCTTCACTTCTTCCCAAGATCCCACTAAAATTATACCATGATCAAGCAATTTTTTTCTCTCTTTGAAGAATTAATTGAAGAAAGAGAAAGGACAGTATGAGGTAAGATTTTTGTTGTTTTTTGTTTTCTGGAAAATACAAAATGGACTGATGAGTGGTAACTGGATTTGGCAAGTAGAGACAACTGAAACCTAAGTGCCTGAAGAGAGGGATGCTAAGAGAGTAAATGTTTCATACTATTTGAACATTAAAGCATTAATTGAGGAGAACAAAGTCAAAGTAATAAAGCTATAAGAACTTAATTGTTTTCCAGATTTAAGGGGTTCACCTAATTAATATCCAGCACAATTTAAGACATATTGGCAAAAAAAATTTAAATAGTGACAATAAAGAAAATATTCTTAACACTTTCATGGACAAAAAATAACAAATCAAATTAATATTAGACTTCTCAATGGCAATACTTGCCCTAGAAGACAGAGGAGAAAATCCTTTAAAATTCCAACTAAATATTATTTATGACTCAGAATTTAATACCAGATAAAGAACCAATGAAGATATTCAAAGGACCCAAGAATTGATCTCGCGGGCACTGTTTCTCAGAAAGCTACAATTTTAGATGCCCCAGTAAAATGAGCCAAAGAACAGAATTGAAATTCAGGCAACAAGTGACTTCCCAAAAGGAAAAGTAAAGGGGATTTCTCAAGATGACTGTGAAGAATTATTTAAAGAGACAGCTGAGAAAGTATCAAGAAGCCCAGAAGTCAAGAATAGAGCAAGAGGACAGAAGACTGGAAGAGAGAGGTCTCCAAAAGCTTCTGAAAAATACAAAATAGCATAAAATGAAATAGAAGTTCCAATTACTTGATGTGTCTGATCATATTGAAAAGGTCTAATTCTTTGGGCAGGATTTGATGAAGCATTAGTATACAGAAAACAAAATAATCAGAAAAGAGAAAATTGCTAATTCTAGAAAAAAAAATAGTTGGACACTGTATGACCCAATGGTGAAAACTATGCATTAATATAGTCTAATAATATTGATAAACAGTATATTTTTAACCAAAATGTGGAGTAACTACTATACTGCCCAGCTGAGGTGGGATTTGGCATTCAAAACACAAAAATGAAGGTGGAGGGTCAAGAAATGATGCCCAAATTGAAAAAGTAAAAGAATTGAGTTGGTATCTTATACACTTAGATATGTAAGAGGAGTCAACAGGAACATCTAAAGGTATTGAAAATTATTCTAGGTTAGGAGCAGAGTTGGGGAAAAAGAAGGAAACTACTGTCTCATGGTACTATTTTACTTTTTAAGTCATGTAGAGATTTTTTTGATGTTTGTTTTTTAATACAGAGGAATAATCTCAGGGGTGCTTTACCCCTGAACCACATCCCCATCTCTTTATTTTTTTGTTTTGAGACAGGGTCTCACTAAGTTGCTAAGGTTGGCCTTGAAACTTCAATCCTCCTGCTCAGCCTCAGGAGTCACTGGGATTATGACAGGTGTGTGCCAGTCTACCCAGCTACATTTTATTTTGGTGAAAATAAAATAAAATTTAAAAAGTATTTTAATGGTAAGGATATAGTACATAGTCTCCAACTATTGAAATATTTCATTTTGCCACCTTTAGAAAATCTGATGATATCTCTTATACTGAGAAACGACTGACTCTTTCTATGACCAACAATCTTATGGCTGGTAAGTCAACAAAAAGAAATGTCACATCTGTACTGGGCACGTGGGGCACACCTGTAATACCAGCAACTTTTCAGGGTTAGGCAGGAGGATTGCAAGTTTGAAGCCAACCTAAGCAACTTAGCGAAGCTCTAGGCAACTTAGTGAGACCCTTTCTCAAAATAAAAAAATCAAAAAGGGCTGGGAATGTGGCTCAGTGGTAAACCACCTCAGGGTTCAAGCCCCAGTATTAAAAAAAAAAAAAGAAAGAAAGAAAGACAGAGGTCTGGGCTGGGGTTGTAACTGAGTGGCAGAGCACTAGCCTAGCACATGTGAGGCAATGGGTTCAATCCTCAGAAACACAGAAAAATAAATAAATAAAATAAAGGCATTGTGTCCATTTACAACTAAAAAAGTTTTTTTTTTTTAAAAAAAGAAAGAAATGGCACACCTGTACTTGTGTATATGTTCAAAATTGTTTATTTTCACAGAAAGTGAAAGTTTTTTTTTTAATTTCAGCAAATAGTTTCCATATACCCTGGAAAAAATGTAAATGTCCTTCAACAGAGAAAGAGCTGAATAAATTATAGTACATTCACACCTTGCTACAGCATGAAATTATTAAAAAGTATAAGTTAAATCTAAGTTTATTACCATGGAGATATTTCCCTGACGCATTTTAAAATAATAAAAACGAGTTGCTTAAGTAGTTGTACAGTTGAGGACCAATTTTTTACAGCAAATTACCCACACATATTATATATGCTGTGTGCGCAAAAAGGTGCAAAAAGCTAAAGCTATGTCTGGAAGAATTAAATTTGATGGATGAGAACTGGAGAGTGACTATTTCTTTTGCCACATATCTATATTTTTTTAATTGTCAAAATAAGCAAATATTGCTCCTATCATTTAAATAAACCTAAAAATTAAAATTAAAACAAAAATGTATCTGCTTCACCAAGCTTCTCTTAGTTTAAGGGACCCTGGGACAGAAGCAGTAGTTTACATTAACACTTGGATGTTCAAGCAGTAGAGTGTAGACAGGGTGCTTGTGATCAACCTAGAAAACACCTGTAGGCACACTGCTGTCACATTAAGGTAATTTCCCAAGGGACCCCTATAGGTGAGTCCAAGGCTAAGAGAGAGAAGCTGAGATGAAGGAGCAGATAAAATGATATTTGTACCAGATTCTTCAAAACATTGTTCCACACTTCAGTTTTCTTTGAATGATTTCTCTAATTTGCATCTTCCATCACCATATTATCTAGTTTCCTGAAAATTAGCATGTGCTATCAAGGTCCTACTGTCTTCTTGTTCTTTTACTTATTAATTTACAGAACAAGAGCATATATTTTTAAAAAACAGTCCCAGTAAATATCCCCAGATAATCACCAGACAAGGCCCCACTGCCCATCATCAGCTGAGCTCTGCACCTGCAGATCCACCACTTAAATGCACCAACAAGGACAAGACCAGGTGAGACCAGTAGAAACAATGACCCATCAACCCAAAATCATGAGGAACTAAAAATCTATGACTTTACATCATCGAATCTGGGAGGGTATGTGCAGCACAATAGAGAAAAGACACCACACAAAAATGACACTCAAGAACTTCTCCTAGGCAACTATGGAGAGAAACTAAGGACAAGTTCTTTTGATGTTTTTGTAGCTTGTGATAATTTGATACATACATGGTACATGACTTATGGGAACCGAATCTCAGACAACCAAAGTGACAGTTCAATCAAGGTCAAGTCAACTGTGCAAGATGATTTCAAAAGCGGGTTGGATACATTCTAGAAGGAGATTTGGGAGGTCATCCATCCAGTAGGTAGCCTTCAAATGAGAATATTTCTGTAAAATGTTCTAATGGATTAAAAACTTTACTTAGGTCATGCTTCATTTCAAAACTTGGTTCTACAATTCACACATATTTCATAAAATTATCCCCAGAAGAACTGGAAAGCAGTGGAAGAATGTCACTGAAAAGACTTACAGGAATGGATAGCAACATCTGAGATCAGAGGGGATCCTTAAGGCTACTGAGTCAAAGAACACTCCAGTGAAAACGCTGACCATTATGCCTTGAGGTAGCAGTCCTTCACAATGAGGTTTCTACTTTGCAGAACTGCCTATTGTCTACCAAGCCTGGAAAATTTTGGAATAATGATTGTGTCAGTCAAATTTTTGACTCAATGTAAATTCCACCAACACTTTCTTGTATGGGTTAAAAGAATAAATTTTCTGTTTCTTCCTCATGACTCTTGAAATATTGCTTATCCGTTTCCTTTAAGTTGAAATCAGAACCCTCTTTTACTAATGAGTGTGTAAAACTACAACCTCTACAATGGAGAATCCAGCATCATCACTCAGAGTACAACTGCAATCCCACTTCTTTCTCTTTTGTTCTTATTTGATACATGAAAACATTACAATTATATATATTTGTGGAGTACACATGATGTTTCAAACATTTATTATACACCCCTAGGGCCAGCAAATGCCGATCATGGCTAAGTTTGGGAGGGTACACGCAGCATTTTCTTTATGGTAAAGCATTCAGTTCCTGTCTTCTAGGTTTTTTGAAAGACTCAGTATATTACTATTAAGCACAGTCACCCTACAGTGCAATAGCATACCAGGTCAAGTCAACTGTCCTAACTGTAATTTAGTACCCATTGATAAACCTCTACCAATGATAAACCCATTGATAAACCTCTTTCTGAACCAATTTCAAATTATTTATACCTTTCAGTTGTTATCTAAAATTCAATAAATCTAAATCTTATCTGAAAGTTCATGTAAGCACTCTATTTTCATTTTAAATATGCCAGGAATATCCCCAGTAGTATATTTATGATACATTTAAAATTGATTATAATGAGAACATCACTGTGTGCTGCCTTCTG